GTAATCTATGTAATAGGCCCAGGTACATAGTGATTATTCCATGAATGATGGTTCTTTACTCATCCCCCATAATACTCCTCTCCTTCTAAATCTTTCCTTTGATCAGTGGAGCAGTCCAGAGTGTTATCTAATGAGCCTAGTCATTTCTCCCCACACCCTTAAGAGTTTCTCCAGGATTGAGGACACAGCCTGGACAGGCTCTGGGTACCACTGACACTTGTAATTTTATTATCATAATCTCTCAGGCCATCCGGATTCTGAAGCCCCTGGAAGACAAAGAGGCCAAGATTGACACGACAGTGGTCTTTGACTGCATCATGGAGCTGAAAGACCCCAATGTCAAGATGATATGGATCAAGGTGGGGGATGCCTAGCCAGGGTCCACCTTGGCGATACCTCTTCCTCTCTACCCCTTTCTCTCATTATCCATAAGCCATAGCTTCCCTTCCATCCCATCAAGAAGATGCCTCCTGGTATGGTTGAAAGAGGCTGGAGTTGGGCTCTACTCTTAGCTGTTGTGTGATGTAAAACAGTCACGTTCCTCTCTCTATGCCTCAGTCTACCCATCTTTTAAATTGAAAGGCTAGATTAGATAGTCTTGAAGGTCACTGAAGAGCTGTGCCTCTAAGGGAAAGCAACTAATGAACTCATGCATACTAAGAGTTCAGGCCTGTGAGGAGGCCTGTGGGGAAGCAGAGATCTTGGATTCTACCAAGCCAGATGATGAGGCTATAGAGATCATAGGGACCTCTGTGTGTCTTTAGAGGGTTGGACACGCACCCTCCAACTCAGGCTGGCTTTGGGGAATGGAGATCTCTGGAAGCCTCCTCCTACAGCCCTTCATCAGCTTTCCTACCTGTTCCATGAGACAGGGTACTGAGCCACTGAGGATCCAGTACTCCCTGGGCAAGTACGATGTGAAGCAGATGGGCACCAAGTACATGCTGGTTATTACCAACGTGAACATGAACGATGCTGGCATCTACAGCCTGTCCGTGGGTGATAAGCGGATGAGTGCAGAGCTCACAGTGCTGGGTATGAGTGGGGGCATGCAAGGGAACAAGGAGGATATGTCAGGTTGGAAGAGAAGAATGGCCAGGGATGGGGTCCATGGTGATATTGGAGAGAGAACTATGGGACTTTGCAAGAAAGCATTGTGGGGATGGAAGTCAAGGGAGGGAGGAAGTACGAGGTGTAAGGGAGAAGATTACGAGCTAAGTGCCATGGGGCTGCATAGCATAGTGATTAAGAGCATAGACTCTGGGCCAGGCGTGGTGGCTCACACCTGTAATCCCAGCACTTTGGGAGGCCGAGGCGGGAGAATCACTTGATGCCAAAAGTTCAAGACCGACCTGGGCAATATAATGAAACCCCGTCTCTAGATAAATAAATAAATAAATAATTGGGCAGGTATGGTGACATGCACCTGTAGTCCTAGCTGCCCAGCAGGCAGAGGCTGCAGTGAGCCATGGTCCTGTACTATACTTTAACCTGGTGATGAAGCAAGACCCTGTCTCAAAAATAAGTTTAAAAACAGAACACAGATTCTGGAGCTAAACTACTAGAATTCAAATCTCAGTTTCTGCCACTTATGAGCTATGTGATTTAGGTCACGTTATTTAACTTCTCTTTGATTCAGTTTCCCCATCTACAAAATGGGGAATAATAGAATCTACCTATGTGATAATTGGATGAATTAATATGGCTAGAATGGTTCCTGGTTTTAGGAACATACCTAAAACCACATAAGTGCTTTTAAAATTGCTGTTACCATTACTGGGAAGAAGACCACATGAACATCATGGGAGGGGACTCCAGACAAGAAGGGCTCAAAAACCAAACCAAAGGAAGGGTGCTTTCCCCTAACCATGGGCTATAGGAGGGCAATGGCATGTGAGGGCCCTCTTCACCATTCCACCCTTCGGGAGGGACCAGCCTAATGACTGTTTGCTCCAGATGAGCCACTGAAGTTCCTGGGAGAGATGAAGCCTCTGAAGGTGACAGAGCGCCAGACAGCTGTGTTTGAGATCCGCCTCTCCAAGAAAGAGCCCAACTTTGTGTGGAAGTTCAATGGGAAGGAGCTGAAGAGGGATGACAAGTATGAAATCACAGTGTCTGAGGATGGTCTGACCCACACGCTTAAGATTAAGGATGCCAGACTCAGTGACAGCGGCGAGTTCTCTGCCGAGGCGGGGAAACTGGTGCAGAAGGCCCAGCTCACTATTGACCGTGAGTGGTTGGCAAGACCCTAAGGGGTGGGCTTTATGCAGGCGGTCATCATTTATATATCCATCTAGCCATCCATCTCCTATTTTCAAAGCCCTGTGATAGGTACTGGAAAGACAGAGGGTTCCCCTCTCTGTTAACCCCTAGTCTAGTAGGGGAGGCAGGTATGAAATGAAATTAGAAAAGCAGTTATTATTCCAAGAGTCAAACCACACTGGGGTCTTATTATCATATGAGATCATGGACCAAGAAAGTATTAGCCTATGTCTCTAATGTCATATATTATAGCACCCCTGTGTCGCTCTCGACTACGTATATTCTGCTACCACAACTAGTTTGGAAATTCGCACATAATGGTAGGTACACCAATGAGCATGTCACACATCTGAACCACACCTGGAATCTGTACCACATGGAATCATCATTGCTGTGATGGAGGGAGACACAAAGGCTATAGAAAACCAAAGAAAAGGCATCACCTGGCAACATCGGAAATAATGAAATGATATCCGAACTTTGCCAAGAACTAAAAGGAGTTCAGCTTTCAGAGAAGGAAGGAAAGTAGAGAGCATCCCCAGCAAGGCAATAGCATGTACAAATGTCCAGACACTAGACAGAGTGCAGGTATGGCTGGAGCTCCAAGGGGGCATTAGAGATCTTGACTGCAGCACTGTGAAAGTTCTCACCCCATTTTACATATAAGGACACTGAGACTCAGAGAGGTAAGTGAGTTGCATATAGTCAACTAGCAAGTCAGGGCCATGGCTGGGACTCTCCCTGTCAAGTACTTCTGTGAATCACATATTACACACAAACATTCAACATCACAAGCTCTTGTGTTTTCTGAGGCCAGAAAGAGGGACAGGGCTCATGGCTCTGTAACTGCAGGAAAAGGATGTCATTGTTTGGGAGTAGGCCCAAGTGTTTGTCTGTCTGCAGGCATCCCCATCAAGTTTGTGAGCAACCTCAAAAATGTACGTGTGAAAGAGAGGAGCCGCGCATGCCTAGAATGTGAGCTGACATCCAAGGATGTGACACTCCGCTGGAAGAAGGACGGGCAGCTGCTGACACATGGCGCTAAATACAACATGAACCACGAGGGCAAGCGAGCAGAACTGATCATTGAGGATGCACAGCTCAGTGATGGTGGCGAGTACACCGTGTTGGCCATGCAGGATGGAGACCCAACTGAATACTGCAGTACTGCCACCGTCACTGTGGAGGGTAACACCTGCCCTATCAATCCCCACTGACCAGTCCCCCTGACCTTGGCATTCCCTTACAGTGGATATCAATTGCCCCCGTCCCACTAACTCCAACCCTCCCGCAGACCATTACCAACTTGTGTCTCCCCATTGTGACCACCCTCACCGCCTAAATTCTGACTAGCTCTGACCTCCCATGCCCTGAACATCCATACCTCCTAGACACTGATCATCCCCTATCTTCCAGACTCTATCCCAGATTTCCTGACTTCATCCTTCACTATCAGACTCTAATCATCCCCAGCAACCCTGATATCCCAGACTTCTTGATCCCAACCATCTCCTACTCCCTAACCATAAACCATTTTCCACAGACCCTAGCCACCCTAAATTCCCAAAGACACTATGTATCCCACGGACTAGCATAACCACAACTAAACATCCCAAGTCCACTAACGACTGACATCTCCACCATCTATTTCCCTCTTCAACCCAGCATCCTAAGTCCCTGGTGACCACCCTCCACTAATCAACTCCCCATTAGCCAACTCCCTGTCTTCCAGGTCACTATTTCCCATGCCACTGACCTTTCTCCACCCCTTCCCACCTATTGCTCCAGTTCCCCTCACTGACCATCCTCCAATCACCTATTGACCACATTGGCAAGCCACCTGCTCATCATAAATTATTTTGATTGATGCAGCACCCCTGACCAGTCCCATGACCATCACCAACAGACCTTTTCCCAGAAGTTCCTCCCACCCCAACACCCTGAGCCAGTCCCTTGCCTACCTTTCTCCCCAGAGCGCCTGGCCACAGTGAAGAGCGGGATGTCCGATGTGCACGCAGCCACTGGGAGCCCGGCTGAGTTGTGTGTAGTGCTGAACGATGAGAAGGTGGAGGGTGTGTGGCTGAAGGATGGCAAGGAGGTCTGAAGCAGGGGCCAGGGAAGGGGGTGATGGAGGTAGACCTGGCCTGTGCTCACACTTACACCCACCCCTGGCCCTCAGATTACGGACTTGCCGGGCGTGCAGATTGTGAAGCAGGGTGCAGTGCACAAGCTCATCTTCCCCAGTATGGGCCCTGAGCATGAGGGAAAGTACACATTCCGGGCCAAGGGCGCAGAGAGTGAAGCCTCTGTATTCATCGCAGGTATGGTCCTGCCCAAGGTAGACAAAGCTCAGCCATGCTTGGCCCACCTACAAGCTCATGGCTTCTCCCCCGCCCGATGGGCTCCTCCATGCCAATGCTCAAGCCCTCCCTGCCGCCCACCCCACAGATCCTCCTACCATCGACCCATCGGTACTGGAGGCACTGGCCGCGCACCCCATCACTGTGAAGGTAGGCCACACAGCCCACATCAAGGTCCCTTTCCGGGGAAAACCGCTGCCCAAAGTGACATGGTACAAGGATGGCATGGAGGTGACGGAGGAGGAACGTGTGTCCATGGAGCGCGGGGAAGACCAGGCACTGCTCACCATCTCCAACTGTGTGCGTGAAGACAGTGGCCTCATCCTGCTCAAGCTCAAGAATGACCACGGCTCAGCTACGGCCACTCTGCACCTCAGTGTGCTGGGTAAGGGCAGGGCTGGGCCAGGCTGAGCTGAGCTGAGGGCACCTGCTGTCCAGACTCAGGGTGGAAGGCAGGCTGAGGAGGAGGCCAGAGATAGAGTTGAAGTTTGGGCTGGGAATGGGCCTAGAAGGCTGGCTTTGCAGCCGAAGCCCTTTCTAACTTCCCAACTAGCTCTTGGCTGAGTGAACCTCTCTAAGCCTCAGTTTCTTGCCTGGAACAAGGTGATCTTTTTATCTAGTATCCATTTCTAGTGAATTTAAAGGGCACAGCCAAGAACACAGGACATAATATACCTTCAGATATGTTACTTAAGTACTGTTATTGACTGGAGATGAGAACTTGGTAGGAGGTAAGGTGGAAATGAGATGAAAGAGAGGTGGGACTGGCCAGGCATGGTGGCTTACGTCTATAATCCCAGCCCTTTGGGGGTCCAAGGCGATGGATCACTTAAGGTCAGGAGTTCAAGACCAGGCTGGCCAACATGGCAAAACCTGGTCTCTACTAAAAATACAAAAATTGGCCAAGCATAGTGGCACACACCTGTAATTCCAGCTACTCAGGAGGCTAAGGCACAAGAATCATTTGAGAGGTTGTGTGAGCCAGGTTCAGGCCACTGTACTCCAGCCTGGACAACAGAGCAAGATTCTGTGTCAAACAAAAACAAAAACATGACTGGGCACAGTGGCTCACACCTATAATCCCAGCACTTTGGGAAACCATGGAGGGCAGATCATGAAGTCAAGGGATCGAGACCATCCTGGCCAACATGGTGAAACCCCGTCTCTACTAAAAAATACAAAAATACAAAAAAGTTAGCTGGGCATGGTGGCGTGCACCTGTAGTCCCAGCCACTCAGAGGCTAAGGCAGGAGAATCACTTGAACCCAGGAGGCAAAGGTTGCAGTGAGCCAAGATCACACCACTGCACTCAAGTCTAGTGACAGAGCAAGACTCCATCTCCAAACAAAAACAAAAAGAAACAACAAAAAAGACGAGAGGTAGGATTCAGAGATGGAGGTGAACTTGATTGGAAAGAATAGTGAGTTTGAAAGTGAACTAGGGTGAGGTGGGAGGTCAGATAGGGCTGGGGATAAAATAAGGTGGGAAAGATGGAATGGGGATTTCCAATGGAATTAGGAATTGGTATGAACATGATGATATAAGGAAAGATGAGGAGCTGGCCTGAGTGTACTTACATTCAACACGTCACATACATACCATCACCACCTCCTCCACCTGCATTTCCAACGAGCTGTAGGATGGGACGGTTTGAGTTTCAATTCAATTCAGCAGCAAGACAGAGCACCTCTGCTGTGTTCTCACTGCTGGGTACACAGACATGAAGTATCCCCAACAGTTTCTCAATTCAAAAGGGGTGAAACTGGTAGACAGACTATAATTATAACATAAGGTAAATAGTGGTACTAGAAAGCACTGGTGTTCTCAAAGCTCAGAAGATGGGGAGAACTTGTCTGTAAGGGAACAGGGAGATCAGCTAAGGGTAGGGGCCCCTAAGTTCTCTAGTCTACCCTTTGCTAGACAGATGGGAGATTCAGGGGGGCAAGGATCAATCTCTTTGGTCAAGTCTTAGAAAGAGGGGTGATGGACACAGGGAGGGGCAAGGTATCCAAAAAGCTCATAATCCGGCTATGCCCTAGCCTGGCCAGACCTTTGGAGAGTGGGAGGAGGCCCTTCTGATCCTTTATTCCAAAGCCCCATTCTGAAGTTGTTCTCTGTCCCCAGACCGTCCGAAGCCCCCACAGGGCCGGGTGGAGTTCCTGGAGCTCTCAGGTAGTTGTGTGCACATGAAGTGGAAGGCCCCGAAGGACAACGGCGGACGACCTGTGACACAGTTCATAGTGGAAAGGAGGGCAGTTGGCAAGAAGTCCTGGATTAAGATAGGCGAGGTGGATGGCAAAGTCACCAACTTTTCCACCAACAAGGTGGAAGAGGGAAAAGCCTACCAGTTCCGTATCCTGGCAGTCAATTCGGAAGGTGTGAGCGACCCACTGGAGACAGAAGAAGTGTTTGCAGGAAATCCCATAGGTCGGTGAGATAGCCTGGTGCTCAGTGGGGAACCCAGGGGTCAACATGGGGGCCTTGGCCAGGAAGGAACACTGATCTGTGGGAAATTCCACAAGATCATCTCTCTAGCTGTCTCACGAGACACACTGATTCCAGAGTAAAAACAGAACATCATTTTGGGCAAGAATTCTCCACTTTGTCCAGTCACATCACATGCACAACACGCTCCCATGGGTATACCCAGAACACACACAACTTCAGGGAACTGACTCCACTCCTTTCTCCATCCCATAAGTCATCCCAGAATCCGAGTAAGCAAGAGGCTGCTTTAGGGATAACCTGAAACCATTCTAACTTTTTTCCCCATAGAAAACCCTTGACAACATTGGAATTTTAATTACAATTGCAGGCTGGACACAGTGGCTCAGACCTGTAATCCCAGAACTTTGGGAGGCCAAGGTGGGCGGATCACCTGTGGTCAGGAGTTCAAGACCAGCCTGGCCAACATGGTGAAACCCTGTCTCTACTAAAAATACAAAAATTAGCCAGGTGTGGTGGTGGGCACCTATTATCCCAGCTACTCAGGAGGCTGAGGCAGGAGAATCACTTGAACCCGGGAGGCAGAGGTTGCAATGAGCCAAGATCGTGCCACTGCACTCCAGCCTAAGCAATAGAGTGAGACTCCTTCTCAAAAATAATAATAATTATTATTATTATTATTATTATTGCAAATTAATTACTTCCTACACCTCTCCAAACTGATCTCCAAAACTTCTTGTCAGGACAGTAGATTGAGAAGGATGGGATTGTTGATCACACCATGGGAAAGTTTGTCACTGATTCTGAATGTTGGCTACACATTAGAATCACTTGGTTTCCTTAATAATGCTAATACTTGCCCTTCACCCCAGGCATAGAGTATGGGTAGGTGGGACCCAGGCACTAGTTGTTGGTGGTGAGTTTTTTCATTTTTGTTTTTATTTTTACTTCCCACTTGATGTTAATGTGCAAGCAAAGTTAAGAATCATTTGTGCTAGGCATTGTGGCTCATGCCTGTAATCCCAGCACTTTGGAAGGCCGAGGCAGGAGGATCACTTGAGCCCAGGAATTCAAGATCATTCTGGGCAACACAGTGAGACCTTGTCTCTAAAAAAGAAAGAAGAATCTCTGGCTTGAGTTTTTTCAAGCAGGGGAGGCAGAGGTCAGCACTCCCCCTCCTAACTTTCGGCTCCTCTGTCCCCCACAGAGCCTCCTGGTTTTGCCTCCCAGCCTCAAGTGACTGATGTGACTAAAGAGGCCGTGACTATCACATGGAATGCCCCTACCCAGGACGGGGGAGCCCCAGTGCTTGGCTACATTGTAGAACGAAGGAAGAAAGGCAGCAACCTGTGGGTGCCAGTCAACAGGGACCCCATCCAAGGTGAGGTCCTTGGGATAGAGGCCCAGGAGGGACCAAAGGAGGTCTTGCTAAGTGGACCCATTAACTACTGACACAGTCCCTCCTCCAACTCTTCTGGAAGTTTTAACAGCATCCCCTGACCTCCTCTTCTATGTCTCTCACTCTTGTTCTCACCCCATGGATACCTCTGGCCTCATGACCCCTCAACTTCCAATTTCAGGCACCAAGTGCACTGTGGATGGTCTCCTGGAGGACACAGAATATGAATTCCGAGTTATAGCTGTAAATAAGGCAGGCCCTGGACAGCCCAGTGTGCCATCCAGCTCAGTAGTGGCCAAGGATCCTGTTAGTGAGTATGGGGCTGCCAGGTCCTTACACATAATGGAATTAGCCCATTCAAAGTGGAGAAAGAATTTCTTCCCTGGGAAAGTATGACAGGAGAGATTACACAGTCTCCACTCTCTGGAAACTGCCAGTCTCATAGAGCAACAAGATTCACACAGCAAGAGAAAGCTTGATAAGATGAAGACTGATAGTCAGGGACAGTGAGGAGGTGGGGTGCAAAGCCATTTTTAAACTTCGTGTATTTCTGGTTAGGTGAGGTAGCAGAGGCATGCTGAGGGCTGAGTAAGGGTGTGGGGCAGATGGTTGGAGAACGTTGCAGTTAGGAAGCAAAGCAGGGGTACTACTGCCTGAAAGTGGATGTGGTGGAGATGGCTGGGTTACAGGCTGAATTAAAGTTTGAATATAGAAGTTTTGAATGTGTGGAGTATGTTAAATTTAAGGGGCACCAAGTTCAAGGATAGAAGTGTTAAAACAGTAAGATAACTGAATTTGAATTTGGAGGTTGAGTGTGTAAGGTTAGGTACTGAGGGCGTTAACTGAGGGATCTGGAGCTAGAAGTAATGAAAGATGTGGTTCAGGAGTATTGAGTGTGGGAAGTGGCCATGGCATTGAGTGGAGATGAGTTGGGGGGGCTGACTACATGTCTGTTCTACCCCAGAACCCCCAGGCCTTGTCCAGGACCTGCATGTATCCGATTCCTCCAACTCCAGCATTTCCCTGGCCTGGCGGGAGCCTGCAGAGGGAGACCCACCCTCTGGCTATATCCTTGAGATGAGGGCTGAAGACACCAAGGAATGGTCCAAGTGCACAAAGATCCCCATCTCAGGCACCTGCTACACCGTGGGAGGACTCACCGAGAGGCAGAAATACTTCTTCCGTATCCGGGCTGTGAATGAGGCTGGCGTTGGGGAGCCTGTGGAGCTAGACAAGGGGGTCCGTGCCATGCCACCACCAGGTGAGGACACAGAGAGGGCTGGGGATTCATGCCCAACATCGTACCTCCAAACCTTCTTCTCTGGGGCCTCATCCCACAGGAAAATTGGATCATGAAAAAGTCATCCTTACTTGTTGTGCCTGGACAAAGCTAGGTAACTTCAGGGGCACCCCTACCAAAGCAATCATTGTGTGCCAAACAGCATCCACCGTGTGTCAAAGTATAACCACCCAATGGGTTCTTCCTGCCCACTGCACAGGCAAAACCAGTTCACTGAGACCACAGCATTGCAACAAAGAGCTTAATGGACACAAGGTCAGCCATGCCGTGTGAGAGACAGAGTTATTACCCAAATCAACTTCCCGAAAATTCAGAGGCCAGGGAGTCTGCTTCTCAGTGGGGCCACAGGACCAGTGGGGTGGGGTGTAGTCAGGTCCAGGTGGAGCCATCAGTCATCAGAAATGCAAAAACCTGGAAAACATCTCATAAACCAATCTAAGGTTCTACAATAGTGATGTTATTTGCAGGAGTAATTGGGGAGTTGCAAATATTGTGATCTCTGGAATAATGGCTGATAATCTTTTATGTCTACACCTTAGCAGAATTCAGGCTCCTCGCATCCTCCTAACCTGGTGGCCTTTCACTGGCTTTGCAAAGGTGATTTAGTTTGGGGGAAGGATTGTTATCATCTAAACTATAAACTAAATGTCTCTCCCAAAATTAGCTTGGTCGGAGACCAGGAATGTTTACAGGCAGTTTGGAGGTTAAAGGCAAGATGGGGGTTGGTTAGACCAGATCTGGTTCACTGTCATAATTTTCTCACTGCTACAGTTGCAAAGGCAGTTTCAAAAGGAGATGTTAGGGATATAGAAACAAGACACAGGACTTGCCTTCCAGGGTCTTGCATATTAGCAGGAGACAGATGAGAAAACAAATAAATGCTTCACAGTGTTGAGGAGCAGCTAGATGTCTGTATGGCCTGTAGTGGGGGCATAAAAGAGGAGAGGCTGGGAAAGGCTTTGATGAGGAGGCTTAAAGCCAAGTCTTGCTGAAAGAGAGATCCATGCCCCCACTTCTGTCTCCTCTATCTCAGCTGCACCCAAGTTTGACCTCAGTGCCCGGCTGAAGAGTCACATGGTGGTTCGTGCTGGAACAGCCCTCTGCATCCATGCAGCTTTCTCTGTGAGTTGTCCCTGACCCTGACCCCTATACACTGTCCACATGACCAAGATGGCCATTGTAGCCACGACAGTCTCTGACTCTGACTCTGCCCCTCACCAGACCCCTAATGCAAGAGCCAGGTGGAAACTCCTCAACAATAGAGGAGAGCCTGCCCCCAAATATCACCTGCATGACCAATTGTGCCATCTCCTGTCACTACTCAGGGCTCACCACCACCCGACGTGATCTGGCAGAAAGATGGCATCCCCACCAAGGGCCGAGAAACAATTACCAAGAGCAAAAACTACTCGCAGTTCCTCATCAATAGCACCAAGCGCTCTGACTCCGGGGTGTACCGCATCTTGCTCCAGAATGAGTTTGGAGAAGCACACTATGACATCCATGTGCGCGTGGCAGGTATGGAGAGAAGGCAGAGGCCTCCAGGAACCATCACTGAACACTTCTCCAAAGTACAGCTCCCCAGTGTGGCTTGAGTTCCTACCACAGGAAATCGTGTCTTAGGGCCATGAAGATTTCTTTGACACCACAGAGCAAGATTTTGTCCTACAGAGTATGGTCGGCAGAGAGAGTAGAAATGGGTGAGGGGCAGGAGGGACAAATGGAGATGAACCCATTAAAAATTAGGGTGACTGCTTAGTGAGAGCTGGAAGCTTTAAAATAAAGCTCTAACCCTCCAAGGAGGAATGGATTCACTTTTACTGAACAGTAACTACATGCCAGGCTCTTTACCCACTGTTTCTATGAAATAGTCATTGTTAGCCCTATTTTGCAATTGAGGAAAGAGGTCTCAGTTAAGTAACTTACCCCAGGTCACAGGGCTAGTAAATGGCAGAGCAGCACTTCAGAAATAGTTTTCCGACTCCGAGACACCAGCTGCCTGAAACTTGCCCCAACTCATCTTCCATCGGACTTGGCAGATAGCTGGGGTGGGGACACAATACTTCAGGCCCCCCAAGGTCACTGACAGATCTTCCAACTCTTCCAGATTTCCCTCGGCCCCCCACAAACCTACAGCTGTTTGAGGAAGTCCCCAACACAGTGACTCTGACCTGGAACCACAGCCCAGATGTGCAGGAGGACGGTGAGGCTCACTACGTCATCATGAAGCGGGATGCAAGCACCGCCACCTGGTACACGGCTGCCGAGCGTGTCTTCAGCAACAAGTACACAGTGACCGGTCTGCTCCCAGGCAGGAAGTACTACTTCAGAGTGGTGGCTCGGAATGAAATCGGTGACAGTGAGCCACTTGACTCCAAGGACACCTGGCTCATCAATAAGGACCCGAGTGAGTCTGGGACTTGCAGTTAGAATTAAGTCTGGGTACCCTAATGGTGGAGATGACGTAAGAGTCCCAAAGGGTACCCAAGAGGCAAGATAAAATCTGAAAATCATTGCGATAGAAGGGTTAATATCTGGGACGCTTAGGGGAGAAGGAAGTGTTGGCTTTCTTCGGGGTACTTAGGGGTGAGACTAAAGTGGAGATGGGGAGGTACCTTTGGGGCCGGAAACGACGGTGGAGGGGCTGCGGAGGGGCTTAGAGTGCTAACAGGGGTGAGATCTCTGTGGAGCCTGGAGGATGTCTGCAATCCCTGGAGGCTAGGGTTTAAGGGTGAGGGCCGCGTCGGGAAACTCGAACTGACGAGCTAAAGGGATACGAGGGGAGACTGTGGACGCTGAAATGACGTAGGGGAAGCTTGGAGGCGGAGTTAAAGGCTGGGGTAACGGCTGGGAATACCCGGGTCCAGGAAGCTGGAGCTGGAATGACATCTCTGCCCTGGGGTCGTGGGAAAGCGTAGCTTGGGTGGCAGAACCCTGGAGTGGCTGGGGACAGGGCCGGAGAGCCGGGGGACAGGACTGGGGCCTGGTGGGGAGCCCTTAGGAACCAGTGTAACATCGAGCCCCCAGAGTTGATGGAGCTGGGAATCTGGCCCAGGTCCTCGGCGTTTCGTGTAAGCAGAACTCTTAAGACGTCGGTGGCGGGTGGGGCCTAAAAGCGCGCTCACGGCCTGCCCCGCCCCGCCCCGCCTGCGCAGTTGAGGACCTGAGCGCCAAGCTCAAACCCTACGAGAAGAAGGACTGGCGCCATGCGCCTCGCTTCCTGACGCCCCTCAAGCCACATACGGTGCTCCGCGGCCAGGACTGCACCATGACCTGCGCCTTCCTTGGGAACCCACGGCCCACGGTGACCCTCTACAAAGGCGACGTCAACATCACAGCCAACTCCAAGTTCTGGTACAACTCTACCAGCGGCGTGTGCACCCTGGTCATCCCCACCTGCACGCTCAAGGACAGCGGCGATTACAGCGTGCTGGTGGAGAACGAGCTAGGCAAGGACCGCAGCAGCTGCACGCTCACCGTCTACGGTGAGGGCACCGTGGGGCTTGGCCTCGGGGAGGGGGAGAGGCGCAAAAGGCTGGCCTTGTGGGCCATTTGTCATCTCTTTATTTGGCTGGCACTGTTTTTTAATCTGACCGCCAACAGGTGGTGCAAACATTCTCAATTGGCCACAGTTCTTAGCGCTCTCCCATCCTTTCGATGTCATTTGTTATATGCCTAGCCCCTGCAGACATGAGAGTTCTCAACTCCTAGATAAGATGTGGTTTGCAACTCTTGGTGAACCTAGACCTGCCTTCAAAGAAAAGATATTGTTGATCAGGACTAAACCAGACTCACCAATCACGATCTCTCTGGCAGGGTTCTGGAAAGAATATATATGTTTGCAAAATTTTGCAGGTGATTCTGACATGCAATCAAGATTAAAATTGTCTTGGATAAGGACAGGTGGGGGGCACAAATAAGGGAGGAACGAAGGGAACTTTCTCTTTTTTTTTTCTTTTTTTTGGTTGTTGTCTGTTTGGTTTTGGTTTTTTGGGTTTTTTTTGAGATAGAGTCTCTGGCTCTGTTGCCCCAGCCAGAGTGCAATGGCGCGGTCTCTGCTCACTACAACCTCTGCCTCCCAGGTTCAAGTGCTTCTCCTGCCTCAGCCTCCTGAGCAGCTGGGATTACAGACATGTGCCACCATGCCTGGCTAATTTTTGTATTTTTAGTAGAGACGGGGTTTCACCATGTTGGTCAGGCTGGTCTTCAACTCCGGACCTTGTGATCTGCCTGTCTCGGCCTCCCAAAGTGCTGGGATTACAGACGTGAGCCATCATGCCCTGGGTTTTTTGTTTGTTTGTTTTTTTGAGGCAGTTTTGATCTTACCCAGGCTGGAGTACATAGCGCAATCTCGGCTCACTGCAACTTCTGCCTCCCAGGGAACCCTCCATTGTGTACATGCATGCCATATTTCTACTCATGTGTACACACGTAGGGGGAAAGCATTTTATTCACTTCCAATCTGTTGTCTTCATAGCCACACAGCTAGCAGTAAAGCTGGCCTGCCTTGCTTTCTGTTGCTTAAATTTCCCCCAGCTTTCCTCTCACAGTAAAATCCCAAACCAACAAGCTTTCCCCCTCCCCCACCTCTCACTTCATCCTCTGCTACTCCTGAACTTTCCATGACACTCCATTGTTGTGGTCACCATGGTTACAGATTTTTTTTTTTTTTAATTTTGAGACAGAGTCTTGCTCTATTGCCCAGGCTGGAGTGCAGTGGGTTGTTCTCGGCTCACTGCAACCTCCACCTCCCCGGGTTGATTCTCCTGCCTCAGCCTCCCGAGTAGCTGGGATTACAGGCATACGCCAACATGCCTGGCTAATTTTTGTATTTTTAGTAGAGACAGGGTTTCACCATGTTGGTCAGGCTGGTCTCGAACTCCTGACCTCAAGCGATCCACCCACCTCAGCCTCCCAAAGTGCTAGGATTACAGGCATGAGCCACCACACCCAGCCATACAGACCTTTTTTATCCAGTTATAGATAACTTTCTTTGGGGGAAAGGACCTTGTCCTGTTGCTCTCTCAAGTGCTTAGCTAAGTGTCTGGCACTGAGACCATGATATCTCTAGAGAGGCTGCCGAGCTGTGTAACAGAACTAGGCCAGGGAAGGCACTATGGGCACTGTCCAGCTTTCATTCCACAGCTAAAGAGATCCCTGACAACTCAACTCTGGTTGTAAGCACAGCATGTGGGCCCAGTGCCCTGGCTCTACCACTGACCAGCAGTGTGACTTTGGCAAGCTACCTCATTGAGCCTGTTTTCTCAGGCTGTGAGGTCTAAATAGAAATGTGAGGCTTAAATGAGATAGTACAGAACTGCCTGACACAATGTCTGGCAAATATTAAGTGCTAGATAAATGGCAGCTCTTGCTCCTTCACACTCTGCCAACCCAGAATTAAGGGTCTCAGGGTCCAGCTCCTAGTTTCCTGTATAGGAATTCCAGCAGTTTGGAATTTCCCTCAGCCCCAGCATCATTAATATAACAAATACTTGCTTTGCTCTTTCAGACAAAGATGACAAGTCAATTGTAGCATCCATCGCTGAGAGTCTGCAGAAGAAATCAAAGCACCTTATGTGAGCTCCAGCCCAGCCCAGGCATCAGGAGACCATTATGATGTGGAGCTTCTTGGCCTGTCCTCTGCATGGACCGGTGTAGGAAGCCCAATTTGCTGTCTGGTGCTTGTCTGTGTAAACATTCAGTGAAGGGATGGAACAATAAACTAAACTCACCTTTCCTGTTCCTCAGGGTGGTATACAGCAGGGACCAAGGGGGATGGATGTGATTGCATGATGGGGAATCCCAGACCTGGACCCCTGAAAGCCTGGTCCAAACCCACCCATGGGGCAGTAATCAGCCCCCTTGTGGCTGGGCCTGGACTTCCCTTCCGCTCCTCCACATCCACACGGCACCTTCCTTCTCCCCTCAGAGCTTGGGGGCAAGTCCTGCTGACTTCATCCTTCTCTCCATCCTGCTCCCTCCCATTTCTTCACACTAGGTAGGTTTGTGTTCCAAGTTCAGAATTTTGAAAAGATCAAGATCTTGCTTGCCTCTGTAGTGTCCAGGGTTCAGAGCTAGAAGGGATTGATCATCCAGCTTACTAAATTTCAAACATACATTTTTCAGTAGAATCCTTCCAAAAACAAAACAAACAAACAAACCTACAACCTAAGAAGCTACTAGACTTGAAATAAGGATAGGAGGTTTGAGCCTGCCTTCCCTCATTCCTTTGCTACTCCCTCACCAGGAATCTCTGTAAAAACTAATTTGGAAATGATTGATTCATCCAACCACCCATATGAGACTTGAGTCTCCTAAATCACATCCCCACAAATGTGCAACACCTCTACTAATGGCATATCCACCACCACCCAAGGCTTCCCTTTCTACTTCTGGCTTAGAGCATTGTCTGTTAAGTTGCAAATGCTCCTGGAGTAGGGTGACGCATTATTCTGCCAGGGCTTTACATCTAATGAATGAATCAGCCAATCTAATCCCATTGCTTCCAGCTGTTCAACTAAGCCCAGAGTCCAAGATTTGGGAGATGCTTTAAGGGAATCTGGATCATTTTGGAGCATGCAGCAGGTCTCAGGTGGGGAGGGGAGGAGGTGGGCAGCAATAGAGGACATAGGGTAACTAAGGGTCACCAAGGGTGCTGGGCACCTGTGCACAGGGGAGTACATGAAGGCTGAATTTGGACATTGGCAAATACTACCCATCCCCATCCTCCTAAACCACATCCTCACCCACATCAGGGAAGTGAGACACACTCCAACCAGCAGAGCATCACCAGAGCCAGGGAGCCAGCCTGGCACCAAGATGCACTGCCCAGGACTATGACTAGGCTGTGAGGACAGCCAGAGACCCTGGCACCACACAGTCTCTCCAAAACAGGCACGTGCCACACAGGCAGACAAGCAGGACAGCCAATGGCTCTTGATTTTTATTTTTTTTCACATGGGCAGCAGAAGATGGAATTGTCCCATCCTTGCTCCCCTTGCATTGAATGTGCCTTGGGTCTTAAAACTCCGGAGTGTCATCGGAGCCCCCTCCTCTTGCTCCTAGTGTAGGAGAGGCAAGGAGGAAAGCATTGTGTGTGTGTTGGAGGGGAGGGGTCCCAGCTCCCTGAGCCAGCTCAGCACCCCTCAGCAGCTCCCTGAGGCCCTCTCTCTGTGAGACATTTGACAGACAGCAGGACAGAGACATACGGTAAATAAAAACAAGGGCAGACTGGGAAACAGACTACACACACACACACACACACACACACACACACAGAGGCTGGCCCCTTCCTTTGGCATGGTTCC